GGGTGGTGGTGCGCGTGCGTGCGTGCGTGTGTGCGTGGTTGTGGTTGTTGTGGTGGTGGTGGTGTGTGTGTGTGTGCGTGTGTGCGCGTGTGCTGTGGTGTGACGTGGTGTGGCGTCTTGGTGGTTTGGTGGTGGGCCAGGTGCGTACGTGCGTGATGGCGGTGGTGGTGGCGGCGGTGGTGGTGTGTGTGTGTGTGTCTGTGTGTGCGTGTGTGTGTGTGTGCGTGTGTGTGTGTGTGTGTGTATGTGTGTGTGTGTGTGTGCGTGCGTGCGTGCGTGCGTGCGTGTGTGTCTGTGTGTGCGCGCGTGTGATGTGGTGTGGCGCGGTGTAGCGTGGTGGTGGTGGGTGGGGTAGTGCGGTGGTGGTGGCGGTGCGCGGTGGTGATGCGCGTGCGTGCGTGCGTGCGTTGGTGGGTGGAAATGGCGGTGGGTGTGCGTGCGGCGGGGCGGGGCGTGGTGCGGCGCGGTGGTGGCGGGCGGATGGGCGCGCGAGAAAGAGGCCCGCGCTGGGGCGAAAACGCCATCCTGAACGACGGAGGCAAAACACCGATCCGAAAATGAGGCCCGCGCTGCAGCGGGAGCGCGATTCAGAACGATTCGGGGGCTGAAATGAGGCCGGCGCCCCAGCGAGAGCAGCATTTTGAAAAAAACGCATGCCAAAACCCAACTCCCGGGAATCCTGTGTGTAAAAAACAGTACGCGGAGGGGGGTCGACTACTTTCAGGCCGCCGTCGGGGGAAGAGGGAGAGTAGTATTCATATTGAGTAATTATAGAGGAAACAATAATCCCGTTAGACCACCTACGCCCAGAGGGCTGGTGGCATTCGCAGTAGGAAGCACCAAGCAGGACTGTAACATTGGAGACTTGAAACTGCAACTGGAGCAGGGAGCAGCAACCTAGGCCTACAGCTGGCTGGCCCCACGAAGGGGCCAGCGGATTCCCGCGGAGAGACACACTCTTTGCCGTGCTCAGTGGATACGAGAGCTCTTGGATCGCCGAGTGCTCAAGAAGCTGTGGTGGACCGACACGAGAGATTGTTTTGCAGATGGGTTGACAAAAGGGATCAGTTCTACGAGATGTTTTGAGGAGTGTCGCAGGAGGCATATGGCAAGTACTACATCCAGCTATCGCCTGGGAGTCGACTGGGAGTGTACTCCGACGAAGTTCTCGGACATCGTGAACCACCGACTGGAGGTTCTGGGATCTACGTATGTATCTTTTCTTCTTGGGCAGCGGGCGCCCTACGTGCGGAGCTGAACTACGAAGATGGATCGTTTCTGGGATTGGCCGTTTCCGATGAATTGCTGGCGCACCTGGCCTTGAGGGTGTGCTTCCTGCTGGAGATCAACGATGGAGACCAACGACCTGAACACGTTCATGACCAGAGTCGAGGGAGCCCCGGCTCCCCGACGTGGGCGGCGAGGGCTACATGGACGGCGGCTTGCTTCTGTGTGGCTCAAGGCCGGCTGGGGGGGCACCGCCCGGCCTGGGCGCGCGTGGGCCCGGGGGCCCGGGATGGATCGCTAGGCGGCGATTGCCTGGCAGCGGGGAAAGAGACCCCGCGACTGATGATGATGATGATGATGATGATGATGAGGAGGAGGAGGAGGAGGAGGAGGAGGAGGAGGAGGAGGAGGAGGAGGATGAGGAGGAGGAGTAGAGAGGATGAGGAGGAGAGGAGGAGGACGAGGACGAGGACGGGGGAGAGGGAGGGAGGGGGAGGAGGAGAGAAACGGGGGATTGTGGAGTCGCAGGTGTTTCAAATGCGCGCGCGCGAGGGTTTCGCGCTGAGTTCGCGACTGTTTCTGTGCAAAACTCTGCTCTGTGTCGTCCTCCTCCCCTCCGCCCCCTCCCTCCTCCTCCTCCTCCTCTCCTCCTCCCTCCTCCTCCTCTCCCCCCTCCTGCTACCTCTCTGCCTTTTTTTTTTTTTTTCTCCAGGCGCCCCCCCCAGACAAAAAAAAAAGTCCTAAAAAAAATATATCGTTTTTTTTTTCTGGGGGGGGGGGCGCCAGGAGAAAAAAAAAGGAATGCGACGTGACCACATCTGCCCTCCCCCCTAGAAGGATTCCTATTGGACGCCCCCATAAGAAGGATTCACAGTAAAATCCTCGACAGAAGGGTTCCTATCGAAACCCTCCACTGAATGATTCCTACCGAAATCCTCCACATGTGGATTCCTACTGAAACCCTCCACTGAATGATTCCTATTGAATTCCTCGAATGGCAATGGCAATGGCAATGGCAATGGTAATGGTAATGGTAATGGTCCTGGTAATGGTACTGGTAATGGTTACGGTAATGATAGTGGTAACGGGGTAGCGAGGCAATGACAATGGCAATGGCAACGGTAATGGTAATGGTAATGGCAATGGCAATGGCAATGGGAATGGCAGTGACAATGGCAATGGCAATGGTAATGGCCATGGCAATGGTAATGGTAATGGTAAGGGTAGAGGTAAAGGTAGAGTTAAAGGTAATGGTAATGGTAATGGTAATGGTGCTGGCAATGGCAGTGGTAATGGTAATGGTAATGGTAATGGGAATGGAAGTGGGAATGGGAACGGGAACGGGAATGGAAATGATAGTGGTAGTGGTAATGGTAATGGCACTGGTAATGGTAATGGTAATGGTTCTGGAAATTGTGATAGCATTGGGAATGGGAATGAGAATGGGAATTCTAATGGTAATGGCAGCGGTAGTATCATGGTAATGGGAATGGGAGTGGAAATGGTACTGGCAATGGTAATGGTAGTGACGAATGGCAATGGCAATGGTGATGGTAATGGTAATGGTAATGACAGAGGTAATGGTACTGGTACTGGTAATGGTAACGGTAATGGTAATGGTAAGGGGGTAGCGATTGGCAATGGCAATGACAATGGCAACGGTAATGGTAATGACAATGGCAATGAGATTGGCAATGGCAATGACAATGATAATGGCCATGGCAATGGCAATGGTAAGTGTAATGATAATGGCAATGGTAATGGGAATGGGAACGGGAATGTGAATGGGAATAGGAACGGGAACGGGATGGGAAATGGTAGTGGTAGTGGTAACGGAAATGGGAATGATAAGGGTAAGGGTAAAGGTAAAGGTAGAGGTAAAGGTAATGGAAATGATAGTGATAATGGTAATGGTAATGGTAATGGTAATGATAATGGTAATGGTTATGAGAATGGGAATGGCACTGGAAATGGTACTGGCAATGGTAGTGGTAGTGGCTAATGGCAATGGCAATGCGAATGGTAATGGTAATGACAGAGGTAATGGTAATGGTAATGGTAACGGTAATGATAGTGGTAACGGGGTGGCGACTGGCACTGGCAATGACAATGACAATGGCAACGGTAATGGCAATGGCAATGGCAATGGGAATGGCAATGTCAATGGCAATGGTAATGGTAATGGCAATGGTAATGTGAATGGGAATGGGAACGGGAATGGGAATGTGAATGGGAATGGGAACGGGCATGGAAATGGCAGTGGTAGTGGTAACGGAAATGGGAATGGTAAGGGTAAGGGTAAATGTAAAGGTAGAGGTAGAGGTAAAGGTAATGGTAATGGCAATGGCAATTGTAATGGTAATGGTAATGGTAATGGTATTGGGAATGGGAATGTGAATCGGAATGGTAATGGTACTGGCAACGGTAATGGTAGTGGCGAAGGGCAATGGCAATGGCAATGGTAATGGTAATGGTAGTGGCGAATGGCAGTGGTAATGGTAGTGGCGAATGGCAATGGCAATGGCAATGGTAATGGTAATGGCAATGACAGTGGTAATGATAATGGTACTGGGAATGGTAATGGTGACGATAACGGTAATGGTAATGGTTATGGCAATGGTAACGGGGTAGCGATTGGCAATGGGAATGGCAACGGCAACGGCAACGGCAATAGCAATGGCCATGGCAATGGTAATGGTCATGGTCATGGTAATGGGAATGGGAATGGGAATGGGAATGGGAATGGGAATGGGAATCGTAGTAGTAATTGGAACGGGAACGGGAATGGAAATGGTAGTGGTAGTGGGAAAGATAATGGCAATGGTAATGGAAATGGTACTGGTAACGGTAATGGTAATGGCAATGATGATGGGAATGGGAATTGTAATGGTGATGGCAGCGGTAATGGTAATGGTAATGGCAATTGTGTTGGTAATGCTAATGATAATGGCAATGGTAATGGTGGTGGCGAATGGTAATGGTAATGGGAATGGTAATGGTAATGGTAACGGTAATGGTAACGGGGTGGCTACTGGCAATGGCAATACCATGGCAATGGCAACGGCACTGGCAATGGCAATGGCAATGATAATGGCAATTGTAATGGCAATGGTAATGGCACTGGCAATTGTAATGGCAATGGTAATGGTAATGGTAATGGTACAGGTAAAGGTAAAGATAAAGGTAAAGGTAATGGTAATGGAAACGGTAATGTGAATGGGAATGGGAATTGGGATGTGAATGGTAATGGTAATGGTATTGGAAATGGGAATGGAATGGGAATGGGAGTGGGAGAGATTGAGAGAGAGAGAGAGAGAGAAAACGAGAAAGGAAACATCAGCATAATGAAGAGGAACATACTGAAACATCGTAAATTTTCGTTTAAAACCCACAGCGACTCCACAATCCCCGCCTCGAGGAGGAGGAGGAGGAGGAGGAGGAGGAGGAGGAAGCGGAGGGGGAGGAGGAGAGGAGGAGGAGGAGGAGAGGAGGAGGAGGAGATGAGGAGGAGGAGGAGGAGGAGGACGAGGGGGAGGGGTGGAGGAGGAGGAGGGAGGAGGAGGGAGGAGGAGGAGGAGGAGGAGGACGGAGGAGGAGGAGGAGGAGGAGGAGGAGGAGGAGGAGGGAGGAGGAGAGGAGGAGGAGGAGGAGGGAAGAAGAGAAGAAGAGGAAAAAGAGGAGGAGGAGGAGGAGGCTAGGAGGAGGAGGCGGGGCGCCTTCGTCCGCGCTCTCGCCTAGCCCCCCGCGTGCGCTCGCCCCCCGCGGCGCCGGAGGCCCAGCAGGAGGTCAGGCAGCTCTCGCACCTCGCCGGCATGCCGGTGGGGCGCAGGCCCGAGATGCTGGATCCCTCGTCCAAGGCCTGGCGGCGGAGGGGGGGGGGGGAAGGGGGGAGGGGGCGAGGGGGGGGACGGAGAGGGGGAAGGGTGACAGGGGAGGGGGGAGGGGGAGGGGAGCGGGGGGGAGGGGAGGGGAGCTTGTGGACATCAGCGGGTGCTGGTCCACGAACGGGTGCGCAGAATACATCCTATCGTTGCTCATTCTTCCTCTTCTGCCAGTTCTTCGATGCTCACGCCCATCACGATCTGACAAAGGATTTCCAGGGCTCTGGACGGAGCAATGGGAAGAGTATGGAGAAGAGAATTGTCAATAGGGAGATGTAGCCTAAGCCTGAGGAGGGTGTTAAGAGAGATAGAGAGGCGGCAGAGCAGACGGCGTTGCCGCGCTTCGCTGCTCCGTTGTTCGGTCATTTTCCTCGCTCGGACGTCGAGCCTTGAGCCAACAGTGCAGACACAAATCTGGCGCGGGGAGGTGTTGCCACGCTCCCCGCGCGTCTGAAACTATACCGTGCCATGCATCATGCACCGCGCAACACAGCAGAGATCGACGCAAGCTGTGGGAACCTCCATCTCCAAAGGTCCCTCGGAGTCACCGGGGGCAGCAAAATCGGAGGATGGGCTGGCATTCCCTAAAACGTGTCCTGAGGTCTCCCAGGGCATACATGCGGTTTGGTCGGAAGAGCTTCGCATACACCCCCCACGCACGCTCCTCCTCTGAAGCCGTGGTGGGGCCGCGGCTGCAGCAAACACCGTGCTCTGTCTAGCGCGGTGGTGTGGGGGGTGCCCTTGCACCTCCAAGCACCCGTACACGCATACAAAAAATCCAAGACAGAACTCATATACAAAACTGCGCTCCTACGCCAGAGCTCGCAGGCCGAAGTGCTGGCGAATCCTCGCGGCATGCTGGACACCGCCGCACTTTGTGAGCCCGTCCGCACGCTGATCGGCGGCGCCGACGAAGTGCAACTCGAGCAGCCCGCGTGCCATCCTGGAGCGGATTGCGTTCACCTTCGTGGACAATGCACGTGTCCGCCATGAGCCTCGCCCCTCTGCCACGTGGTTCGCCGCGGCATTGTCTCAGTACAGTGTCGGCCTCACTCGGAGCCCCATGCTCTCGAGCGTTGCCGCAGCCGCAGCGCTCATGTTCTCGCCGACGGCAAGTGCATTCACCTCCGCCTCCGCGGTGCTGAACGGGACGACCTGCTGGCGCACGCTGCGCCAATCGACCAGGCAGCCGAAGAGGTACACCGAGACGCCCGTTTGTGCGCCAATGTCCTCGAAGCTCGCGTCGGCGTACGTCTCCAGCGGGAGCGTCTCGTCCATGCCGAACTCCTCTGGGACGTGGTACTCCAGACCCACGCGCCTCGTGCCAGCGAGGTAGCGCAAGACTTTCTTGCCGAACAACAAGCTCTGGACAGGATGGCTCGTGGCGAGAGCCGCGACGCGCGACACCGCATAGGCGATGTCCGGGCGCGTCCGCGAGGCCAGCCAGAGAATCCCTCCAGCCATGCGTTGCGCGAGCCTGACATCGCTCAGCGCTAGCTCCTCCTCGTCCCCGTTGGCCGCCCCGGCGAAGTCGTCGAAGCTCTCCTTATCCAAGTTGATGGAGCCGGCGCCGTTCGCCTTCTCCATCCCCCACTTCTCCAGCAGCTCCTCCGTGTAGGAATGCTGCGAGAGCGTGATGGTGGAGTCGATCTTGACCTCGATGTCAATGGAGAGGTAGCGCACAACTCCTGGCGACCCAGGTCCAACTTGGGGTTGGGACGATGTCCTCCGGAGCCCTCCCAAAGCCGACCCCTTCGCCGAAACGACCGACGAAGGTCCCAAGATGAGGAAGTCGTCCACGTACGTGAGGACGTACCCGCAGACGCTGCCCGCGGAATCCACGATACTCCACACTGCCCCGTCCGCGGTGCTTTGCCGGAGCTGGAGCTGACGGCCCTGCGCGTCCTCGACGATCATGTCCTTCATATCCGAATCCCGCTTCGTAGCCCACGCCCTGGGCGAGATGCGCAGGCCGTAGATGGCCTTCGTCGCCCTCCAGACCTCCCCGGGACGGACGAGGCCATACCGCACCATCACGGCGGGAGGGCGCACCAGCACCTCCTTGTGCTCGATGGGGAGGTGGGCGTTGAGGAAGGCAGTCGAAACATCCATCGCGCCGATGTCCCAGCGCCTAGCGAATGCTACCGCCAAGGCGCTGCGGAGGCTGCAAACCTCGAGGTTCGAGGTGTACACCTGCTCTCCCTCCCCGTGCTGCTCGAAGTTGCCGCAGACCACGCCTCGGCATTTCTTCCTCCGGTATCCCGTCGGATCGGAGGGCTCGGCAGCCTTGACACCTGCCACCACCTTCATGGGCAAGATGTCCCTGGGCCTCGCCTGGCGGACCTCCGCCGGCGTCAGCCGGGAGAAAACTTCGTTCTCAGTCATCGAATTCAGCTCGTTCTCGAGGGCCTGCCTCCACTCCTCCTTCTCCAAACCGAAGGCCTCGTTGAGCACCCTCATCGAGACCAGCGACGTGCCTGAGTCGCGGATGATGTCCCGGAACTCGGGCGGCACGCTACCCTCGTCGTCGCTTTCGTCGTCGTCGCCACCCCTGGAGCCCATGGGAGCGACCTGGGCGTTCACGTCGTCGTGGTACCGCAACCTCTGCACCTGCAAGCCGCACTTCGAGTCGCAGATGCCTCTCCTCTCGTCCTCGACGTCCTCGCGGCTGCCGGGGAAGCCGCCGCACCTGGCCCACGTCGACAACGATGGTCCCTGGTGTGGGCGACGTGCCGTCCACGGCACGCCGGGCACGACCATTTCGGCCCTGCATCCGCGCCGGCGTCGAAAGGAGGCCCACCAGCAGGTCCACGAAGAAGAGGTCCAAGAAGACAATGGGCTTCACGAGTGTGTGGCCTATGGGCTCTAGTGGTGCACGCTGGGCACGTGATATCCTTCAAGTCGGTTTCGAAGATGTCGTCACCCTTCTCCTCGGTTGCTCCTGGTGCTCCTGATCCTCCTCCTGGTGGTGCTGCGTCCTCTTGCTCCTCCTCCTGCTGGCCTCCTCCTGGTGGTGATGTCTCCTCTGCCTCCTCATCCTGCTGCCTCGCTGCTTCTGCTGCCTTCTCCTCCTCCTCCTCCTCCTCATCCTCCCCCTCCTTCTCCTCCTCTCGCCGGGTTGTCGGCGCCTGGCGGATCGGCTGGGGAACAGGCACGAAGGAGCTGGAAGCCTCGATAACCCACCTCCGCTCCGACATCGTGGCTTCGGGATCCACCTGGCCCACGAGCCAACCGCCGCCGCCCTCGTCGATGCCCAGGAAGATGCTCTCCACCGCCCGCGCCTGGAACATGCTGCGGGGGACGTCCTTTACCCTGGACGTGACACGGGCACCGAAAGCAGGACAGCCTGTCCTGCGCCCCTCGGCGGCCATTCGGCTGCACCACGCCGCATGGGCGACCGCCATCGGCCACAGCGCCTGCCGATCGGCCATGGAAGGGAAGGCGAGTAGCATCGCGCGAGCACGCTGCTTTATGAGTCCCACGCCTTTCTCAGCCCGTGGGTTCGCATTCGGCGCATAGCCAGGAGTCGAAGTCACGGCGATGTGGCGCTAGGCCAAATAGTGCCGGACCTTCTCACCAGTCACCTCACTGGCCCTGTCTCCATGGATCCTGTAAAAACCACGTCGGCCCCCTCAAACTCTCTGCGGATGGACGCGATGATGGCGTTCAACGCGGCGATGCACACGTCGGGCCTGCGGCTCTCGAGCGGCACGACGTAGTACCATTTGCGACTCTTGGGCGCCGCCGCATGTCCATCATCAGCTTCGGCCTCCTGGCCGGAGCCCTCAACCAGGATCGGGGGAGCCAGAAGGTCTCCGGAGGACTCTCCAGGAGCATCTGGGCCGACGGTCTGGCCCTGGCCGGGCGCTCCCTGCGCCTCTACAGCTGCCGGCCGCACGCTGACGCCCAACGCCTCGGCGGCGCGCGCCATCAGCCTCCTGAGTGCCGGATGCGCCGTCGGCGCAGTCTCCATGAGGAGGGGGGGGAACCTGCGTTACGGCAGCAGCTGCATCTGCATCCTCGCCAGCGCTTGCCCCCTGCGCTCCTGGCGCCGCCTCCGAGTTGGCACCTCCTCGCGCCTCCTCTTGAGCGCCAGCTCGTCGCCGGCGGTGACGCTGAAGGCGGCGAGGAGGAAGTGGATTGCCTTTTTGCCCTGGTCCTCTGGCCGCCCTGAGGGCCAGCGGCCAGTCAAATGTGGCCCTGACAGGTCCACCGACAACTGGCCGCCTGGCCTCGTCGAGGCGTCGTGTCTGAAGTGCTGTCTCATGCGCCCAGAGGCGCCCCTGCACTTGCTGCAGGCAGGGTCGAAGACAACGTGCCCCGCCTCCTCGTGCTCCTGCAAGCTTGGCCGCGCGGGCGCAGCATGAGCCATGCCGCGGAGGGCGCGTGCGAGCACGCCCATCGCCGCACGAAACCGCTCGCGAAGTTGCCTCCGCCGCTCCTGCCGCAGCACCTCCGCGTCACCCTCAGAGATGTACAGCGCGGTGTTCACGCGGTGGAGGTGCACCTCGCGGCCGTCCGCGAGCATCACAACGCACTGCTCCGCATCCCGGCTCATCCTGAGGCCAAGCTGCTCCACGTAAGTGGCGAGAGGGAACAGGCCCTGCAGGGACTCCCCCTCGACGTAGACCACGTCCGCCACCATCTTCGCGTCGACCTCGCCGCTGGCGGTCTGGAGCCTCACGTGGCTGCCGCGGATTGCTGAGAGGTCGCGCACCCCGCGCAACTCATGAGTGGCCCCCGTGTCTGCGAGAAGCATGCGCTCGCCGTTGACCCCGGCGATTTCCGCCGAGACCTGGATCGTTTTCGCGCTCGGCTCGACGTTGGCCCAGAAGTCGACCTGTGCCGCCTGCCCCGAAGGGGCCTGCGGCACTCCAGCGCCCATTCCCATGAGCGTCAGGAGCTGCGCGCTGACCTCAGCGCGCGCGGCCTGAGCAGCCACCTGCTCCATCGATGCCGCATCCGATTTCGAAGAAGCTGTCCCTGGAGCGGCCGGCGACGCCGCCGAAGCCAAAGATGCAGCAGCCTCTGGAGCATCCGCTGTCTTCGCCGGAGGCCTCGTGCGCTCGCACGCGTCCGAGCGGTGCTGGGGGGATCCGCAGTTGAAGCACTTGCCCTCCTGCGGTTGGAGCTTTCGATGCCGATCTCGGCAAGCTCCTCCGCTGCCGTGCCAGCAGCCGCGGTCACCCTCGAAATGCGGGCACAACTTGAGCTCGCCCTTCACTCCAGAGCCCCGGCCAGGGCCAGCTCCAGCGCCGCCTCCAAGAGGTGGATGGCCGCCTTTCGGGCCCTCCCTGCCGGCGCCCTTCGGCTTGCCACTCTTGTCCTTATCCTTGCCCTTGTCGTTGCCCTTCCCCTTCGGGTCCTTACCACCCTGGGGGGCCAGAGCTGCCACGCGAGCTGCCTCCTGCTGCTCGCTCCTGCCGCCGCCGCCGGACGAGCCCGCGAACTCCCGGGCCTCTGCTGACAAGTAACTACCTCCACAACTCGTCGACCTGCGCCTGCGTGCAGACGCCGCCACTCAAGCCCCGCACCACGAGGAACCCGTAGTAGCGGTGCTTGACCTCCTGGTCGCTCTCGATCATGCGGCCCACGATCGTCTTGAGAATCGTCAGCTGGACCGACGGGCCTGGCGCCGCAACGCCAAGCGTTGCGAGGCGCGTCGCATTCAGCTTCCACCTCTGTAGCTCCTCGTAGGTGTGGGCCTGGTCGACGGCCTTGCCCTTCGAAACCGCATTCAACACGTAGTCCTTGTCAGCGGCCATGCCGGGCCCTGCCTCGACGAAGGCCCCAAACAAGATGTCGCAGGTCGACGTCATCTTTGTGGAGAGGCACTGCGACCTGACGCCGTCTGGCATCAGATTCAGCAAGATGCTCCGCAACCGAAGCTCGCAGCTGCGGTAGTTAATCGCCTCGGCCTCCGAGGCAACCCAGTCCTCGGGCTGCGACGGCCTGATCCCAGGCCTGTCCAACGGCCCGTGCGCGAGGTACGAGCGGTTCGCCTCGGAGACGACGGCGACCACTTGCTGCCAGTACTCCTGGATGAGGTGGCGCAGGCCGCCGAGCTCGAGGCTGATCCTCTGCAGCCACCCCTCAAAGGCAGCTGCCTTCTGCCCCGTCGAACCCCCCCTCGGCCAGGACAGGGAGGGCAGGCAGCTCGTTCGACTTCAACTTGCTCAGCACCGTCTCCAAGGTGCTGTCGCGGCCTGCGGGTATCGAAGTCGCCGCAGTCGCTCCGCCACCGCCGAAAGGCAGCGGCGGTGGAGATGGTCCGCCGCCTCCGCCGCCTGGTCCACCAGGTCCGAAGCCGCCACCTCCAGGGCCCTGAGGCCCGAATCTGCCAGGGCCGCCTGGCCCGCCACCGAAACCGTCTCCCGGCTGCCCGGGCGGAGGGCCGAATCCACCGCCACCAGGTCCACCTGGTCCGCTCGGCCCGCCTCCTCCGCCGAACTGTCCACCTCCAGGGCCTCCCGGAACACCTCCGAAGCCCTGAGATCTTGGGAATCCTCCCTGAAAGCCTCCACCAACTCCATGAACTCCAACTCCGCCACCACCATGTGGGACACCTCCTGGAAGACCCCCGAAGCCTCCTCCAGGTAGCCCAGCGCCTCCAGGAACACCGCCGCCCTGAGGATGACCACCTCCTGGATGTCCTGCAGGCGCGAGCCCAGCATGAGCAGCGGCGCCGAGTCCTGGCGGCTGCTCCTGCTGCGTGGCGCTCGCCGGCGCCGCGGCTCGCACGGGAAACTCCTCGACGTGCTTGCCAATCGTGTCAGCCGCCCCGCACGCGGCCTTCACCTCGTGAGTCTCGGCGGCACTGTCCCCAGCACCGCTCACGGCAAGCCCCCCCGCCTGAGACCAATCCACGCCGTAGACGGTGTCGATACCCTCGTCCTGGGCCTCGGCGATCTCCTCCTCCAGCCGCTCAGGCGACGAGGGCGTCGCGTACCCGCTTCGGGCTGACGCTGCGCTCCCTCCTCGGAGCCTGGCGTTCTCCTCCCTCAGAGCCTCCATCTCCGCACGCATCCAGCTAAACTCGGCCATCACGTCTGCCATCTCGGTTGGCACGCCGCTGCCCGAGCCCTCGTCCGAGATGTCGAACTGCTCGAGGACGCGCGGGCGCTGCGGCGCAGGTGCGCTCGGCAGCTCCACCGCGCGCATGCCCCGGATCGCTGACACGGTCCCCGAGGCGCAGCCTGTCATCAGCCTGGCCGCTCCTCCCACGGCCCCTGTTGCCACCGCGTCGATGGCCTGCCCCGCGCACTGGCCGCTGGCGCTCATGAAACGCCCGAAGCCCGCGGAACTCACCGCCATCCTCTGCTGCGCCTGGTGGATCGCGAAGGCGAAGTCCATCTCGCTGGCGCAGCTCGTGCACACCATGCAGCTCATGCGCCTCACCACGCAGTGGCTGTGCACGGGCGCGTGGCACGCCGAGCACGTGACAGAGGGCCCTGTCATCACGTCGGCGCACGCATGGCACGTTCGGATGATCCACGTGCCCGATCCTGCAGCACATGCCGATGAAGGCGTCCAGGTGGTAGTCGAAGAGGATGCGGGGTCGAATCGCCCCCCTGCGTTTTTCACATTTTTCGGTTGCCTATTCCTTTTCGTTTTTTTGGGGTTGGGGAGTTCTTTTTTTTGTTTGGGGTGGGGTGGGCGGGGCTCTGTCTGAATCGTTTGCGGTTCCGTTTGCGTACGGGTTTCTCGTGCGCCTGTGGGGCATGGCCAGCAGTGCGCCTGGGGCCTTGAGAGAGTGGGGAGGTGCCGATTGGTCACGATTTCGATTGTGCGACCCTTCGCACAGTCAGATGCGTGACCAGGGGGTTGGTTTGCAACCTTGGGGGGGGGGCCAGATAAAAAAGAAGAAACAAAAATAAAGAAAAAAACACGTTGAACTTCCAATATTTTTTTTTTGTTCTTTTTGATCCCCCTTTTTGTTTCTCTTTTTCACCCCCCCCAACACCACACTCCATTCCTCCCCCTTCCCCCGTCCCCTCCTCCCCCCTCCTCCCTCCCGTCCCCCCGTTCAGTCGAATTGCACAGACGTCGCATGCACTGCGTTGCAATCGCATTGCGTTGCAATCGCATTGCAACAGCCGCCTTATTGCACCCTCCCTATTTCACTGTATTCCAATCGCATTGCGTTGCCATCGGATTGCGTTGCATTGCAATCGGATTGTGTTGCATTGTATTGCATTCGAATTCATCGCATGTGCCGCTTCTGCATTGCAATCGGTTGCATTGCAACCGCATTGCATTACATTGCAATCGGATTGTATTGCTATGCCGGTGCGCACGGGTTCGGTGGCTCGTGCAGGGATTGGGGACGGATGGTCTTACATGGGAAGAAGGAGGAGGAGGAGGAGGAGGAGGAGGCGGAAGAGGAGGAGGAAGGGCCCCGAAGGCTTCAGGCATCCTTGCCTCTGCGGGTCCACGGGCAGCACCGTGGGGCACCAGAGCCGTCCTCTGCGGACTGGAAGGGCCCCGAAGGCTTCAAGCATCCTAGCCTCTGCGGGTCCACGTGCCGCACCGTAGGGCACCTCCGCCGTCCTCTGCGGCCTTGCGTCCTTGCCGACAGATAAGAACAGGGAAGACAGCGTGTGGGACCCCGAATACTCCACACCATCCTCCCCCCCCCGCGGCCATTTTGGCCCAAGGGTTTTTGTTTGGCGGCGCAGAGCAGCATCCAGAGTGCCGGCGAATCCTCCTGCCTGTGTTCCAATCGCTATCACTTTTACTGCTCAGCCGGCATATCGCGCGGGCTCGGCCTTGTATTGTGGACGCGACCACCGGGCACAGATATGGTCTATGAGTGCGCCAATCCAGATTGCCGGTGGGGGACAGCAGGGACGGCCACCTTGGTGAAGGAACCCCACACGCGCTGCTTGTTGTGCCAACCAGCTGATGAGGTGGCGGGGCGGCGATCCCGCGGTCAGCGCGGGGCCCTCGTCAGAGTTCTTAGCAAACAAACGGTGGACGAGAGGGAGGCCTGGCTGGCCCAGCTGGGCCCCGACACGGCGGAGGAGATCCGAGCTGCTGTCGGGGACGCCCGTCCTGGAACTGATCCCGTGGCTTCTGGCGCAGGTGCAGCCGCCATGCATCTTCCTGCTGGAGGCCCTCTTGCTGGCGCAGGTGCAGCCGCCACACATCATCCTGTTCGGTCGGATTCATACTGACGAGACTTTGTCTTTGGTCCCAGATCATAGGCCTCCGTTGCCTCCAGTGGCAGAAGCATCTGTTCAGTCTGTCCCCTGGGAGGACGATGGTCGGTTCCTCTGCGCTAACTTGCGCTGGGTGCGAACTGGTTTTGGCCATTGCCCCTCCTGCAGTAATCCGATCAAGTATAAGTGCAAGGTTGCCCATGATTATCTGCTTCAGTCGTACCGACACAAGATCATCTCAACCTCGCTTTGGAACAATGGCATTGTGTTACATGTTGTCGACCTTGAGACGCTCCCTTACGAGCGTGATCGTTATGTTGGCGTGCGAGTAAGCAGACAACGGAGAGCTTCGGCGGAAGTAATATACAACATCAACAGCAATCTGAAGCTGGAGCGCAAATGGGCAACAAATCATCAGTAGATTAGCTTGGCTGCTTCGGGTCAAACCTTTGGGAACAGCCGCCCGGGTAGTGTTCCTGCTTGGATTCCTGAGCACGCCGCGGCCCAGCCGCCGGCGCGCCACGGTCCCTTTTTTCAGCACCTTGAACCTCTGAAGAGGCGATTCATTAAATGGCTCGCGCACTTGGCTGAGAGAGAAGCGACTCAAGCTCTTACGATTGCAGAGTGGTGGCCTTTACATTGGGCAACAGATATTGATCAGCATGCACGTCCCATGTCTTGTCTCGCTCTGGCTGCCTTTGAGTGGCCAGAGGCACCCGACACACGCTTTGAACCCATCGAAGGTTGGTTCGAATGGGAGCGCAACATGAATAATGCGAATATCTTCGTGCCAACGCTTCGGACATTGCGCGAAGCAAAAGAGGGAACAGCACCCTGGCTGCCCGCCGCCCAGGGCAACGCTATGGACGTCACAGGGCCCAGCCTTCGTGGACGTCCACCGGTTGCTTGGGCAAATAATTATGTGGCACGACCCCGTCGTGCTTCCCAGTCCGTCAGCAGGCGCGAGAAACTATGTTCCGAACGCCTTCTCATTTCGGTGTGCAAGCATGCCAAACCTGCCGCCGGTCCAACCGTGACGGCAGGTGAGGAGAACGTTGACGTGACCCTTGATGTCACCGCAGTCTGCGGGTCCCAGACCGAGCAGATAATTGACGGGAGGATCAATCTAAATCAGCCCGATGGGCATGTGTATTCTCGTCGCGATGACAAATCATTGAACATCACGTTGGCCGAGGACGGAGCCAAAGATGTGGCCGCTCAATATGTCATGGAGTACACCAGCTAGCGCCCGGACATAATTGAACTTGAAAGGTTACGACTGTCGGGTAAGGTAACGCACGATGTCCCAGAAGACGCGCGGAGCGCCATTGAATGGAACTGGAAGATTCCAGTTCCAGAACTGGAGTTGGATCTCCGCATCATTCGCGTGATTGTGATCGTTCGCGAGATCATTAGTTGCTTCATCGCCGAGGGACCTTGCATAGCATACCCTGGGGCTAACTTTCTTGCCCGCGGCACCGGCGCAGAGTACGACGATGACAAGCGTCGAACGGATGCATAGGCTCTTGATTGCCGCATTCGCGCCGCGATTGAGACAGACGACCTCATTGAGGAATGGGCCCATGACTTGGGCAGACAGGGTCGTGCCGACATCCGTTGTCAGGGCATGAAACTACAGGAAGCTATTTATTGGCTATATCCACTCGTGGAAGCCATTGAGCTTCAAGACAAAGATGAAGGCAACTTTATTAGTGCCTGCGGCAAGTTTGGTATTTTTGTTGCTACTGCTGCAAGGGATATCATTAGATATGCTAGAAAGCAACGAGTGATGAGTGTTCGGGGGAGTGGAGGCGCTGATGGGCCCTCCGACGGCCAAGCCGATACGGAGGGGCCCGTTTTGGCGAAAGCGATGCCCAGAACAGCTGATCGCCCCGATCCGCCACCTCCTCCACGCAGATCCGACGTCCAAGACGATCGGGCCGACGATGACGTCACGGAATCTCCGTACTCTGCCGGCGGTCAAACCGCCGCGGCAGGAGATGAGCACTCATGGTATTCGTCTGACAGGGACACACGGGATTGGTGAGGCCTACGCGCGCGCGGCGGAGCCATGGATGCCGGGCGCGGGGCTGCCGGCTACGACCTCTCGAGGCACTACCCGCACTACACACATGATGTACTGGATGGATACTGGGTTCACCGGGACGTGATATCTTGGATGAGTCCCAGGGAGAACCAGTCACGCGTGTGGCATGTTGTGTACCTGAATGACTACAACTACCGCTTTCCGAGAGAAGGAAAGGGTTCCAAGAGCAAGAACAAGGACAAGTACAACAGGTCAGCGCCCTACGCTGGCCGTGGCAAGGGATACAGATCACGTTCGCCCTATTGGGCCGCGGATCAGACGGGAGGATCATCATCTTCACATCCGAGACTTCCGTCTCCGCCATCGGGGCGATACTTTTAGAACAAGAGGTGGGAGCAGGCAGAACCCGGGCGACCAAGTCGCCGCGGGCGCGACCGAGCGACAAAGTCGCTTCGGCAGAGAGAATTTGTTCAACTATTGGTGGGACTCGTCGGGTTTCTCCGGCCCTGAGTTCCCTGGCAACCACCGCTGAGCGGTAAAATGCTTTTGGGGTTCGTTCCGGTGGCTGTATATATGTACAGGCCAGGCGAGCTGTGGCTGGATGCGCCCTACGAAGCCCGCCGCGGGGGGAGTAAATATGCTCCTCTCCGCCTCTTACTGCGCTTGCCTCTCCTGCTGCCTGCCTTGCCACACCTTGACTCTGCGGCGCTGTTCCGCAGCTGTATTTGCTCTCAGGATAGACAAGGAGCGTGCTGGCTTGCACGCGCGCGCCGAGGGGTCGTTCCCTCGTCGTCGTCGCGTCGGCCGGCCGGCCGGCCTCCCCCCTTCCCATTCTTGAGTGCGGTTGCTTAACGGTTAATTGTAGTTTCATCGATGTCTCATCCCGTATCCTCTACTACTGAGCAGAGTCAACACGAGACCTTAATGCCTGTGTCATCTTACCCCGATTCTCAGAGGAAAGACTCCTCCTCCTCCTCCTCCTCCTCCTCCTCATTATCCTTCTCCTCCTCCTCCCCCTCTTTTGCCCCCCCCGCCTCCATCGCGGACATCTCGCCTCCGGCGCCAGGGCGTGCCGACGGGGAGCTTCGCGGGGCCCGCGCCCGGCCCGGGGCTCGCGCCCCGCTCCGGCGAACCCCGGCCGTTCGACGCGCGCTTCGGGGGTGCCCCCCCGCCGCCGGGGAGGGGGTTCTGTTCGGGCCCGGAGGCAATATCCAGTGGCGGGAGGGAGGGGGCGAGGGAGGGACAGATGGATGGAGGAGGGGAGGCGGGTGGAGCAGAGGAGGGGGGGGAAAAGGGGCAGGGGAGAGGATGCGGGGGAGGCGAGGGGGGACGGGGGGGTCGAGGGCGAGGGAGAGCGCGGGGGGCGATGAGAGGGGAGGGGGGGTGCAGGGGGGAGCGGTGGGGTTCGAGGGGCGTGGATGGGGGCAGCGGCCGAGAGAGGGTTCGTTTTATTATCATTATGATTATTCATATTATTATTATCAACATTTTTTTTATTATTACTATTATCATTATTCCTCCTCCTCGTCGTCGTCGTCTCCTCCTTCTCCTCCTCCTCCTCCTCCTCTTCCTCCTTCTCCTCCTCCTCCATTTTTTCCTTCTAGATAGATCCGCCCTGTCGCACCCCGAGGCTGGTCGGAAGAGCGGTCCGGGCGTTTCGCTCAAGACTTCCTCACCGCTTATGGCCCTAATGGTCAAAATTGAGCGAGGGTGGTTTTCAAAATGTGGTTCCCGCTTTTGCGCTGCGCACGTTCGTTTTGAAGATTTGCAAGAGCTTCATGGACTGAGGGCCGGACGTTCTCAACATGTGGCGCTCGCCGTAGCGCCGCACACATTCGTTCTGGAAACTTGCTAGAACTTCGCGGAATGAAGGCGGGTGGTTTTCAAAATGTGGTTTTCGCCTTAGCACCGCGCGCATTCGTTCTAAATGAATACAAGAATTTCATGGACTGAGGGCGGGACGTTTTCAAAATGTAGTTCTCGCAGTAGCGCCGCGCACATTCGTTGTAACAAATTTCAAGAGGTTGACGGATTGAGGGCGGGTCGTTTCAAAATGTGGTTCTCGCTCGCCGCGCACACTCGCTTCAAACATTTGCAAGAGTTTCATGGATTGAGGGCGCTTCCTTTGCAAAATGTGGCTCTCGCCTTAGCGCCGCGCGCCTTCGTTCTAAACATTTGCAAGCATTTAACGGATTGATGGCGGGTGGTTTTCAAAATGTGGTTTTCGCTTTAACGCCGCGTGCATTCGTTTTAAACGCGCGCAAGAGCTTCACTCAGTGTCATGATTAACCTACCTGAAATGGTGGCTTGGAACGATTTAGTACTGTCAGAGCGCAACAGTAACTTATTTGCAGTGTTGAAGTGTCAGGAGTGGTGTTTTGGCACGATGCAGGATCGCCACGACGTAACAGTGAGGTAAACTCGTGGCGTTGAAGTCTTAAGATTGGCGTTCTGGAGCGAGTCAACATGTTCACACGGTTGTCCCCGAACGGGGCAATGATTCTTTCAGTGGAAACGACCCCTTTGTATGGGGCTTATGGAGCGGGATTTGGGTGGGAGGGTGTATTCCAACAGCGTCGATGATTCTTGGGTTTGCATTGGTCCTCGTCCCCCTCCTCGTCGTTTTCGTCCTCATATTCATCGTCGTTTTCTTCTTCGTACTATCATCATTGTTGCTGTCATTGCTCTTACGAGTAGATCGGTTATTTTCAGGATTTCACAGCCCCGACATCGCCGCGTTGAATCGTTCTGTGCCTACGCCTTCCATACCAGACGCACCTGTTGCTCCGAAATGCCGGTCCTCTATCAAGGCCACAGCTTGGGTTGGCGACGTCAAGACGGTTTTTTCGCCCGAGGACCCCGAAAACATCGGAGGGAACCTCTTGCTGCCTCACCCCGTGCGGGCGGCATTCCTGGTGAGGACCCCGACGACTTGTTGATGACTGAACTACTGACATAAGTTTATGGAGTTGTTTCCGGCCTTCCAGGCTGGCGTAGAAGTCTCCAGACAGCCTTCGAAGAGTATGGTTTCAATCGCCATCCTCTGGCACCCTGCCTCGTGTTCATGTACGAGACTCTTGATGGGCGCCCTGGGCAATTTCCGGGTCTCGTCGTCATCGAAACAGGTCATTGGTTGGGAGTTGGTATTGGAGATAGACTTGTCGATGCCATCTCTCGCTTTCGGAAGCAGTTCGAATGCGGAGATCATAGGCGACCTGACCTCGTCTGTGATCAATGTGGGCCGCAACCAAATCGCATTAACAGTCCCCGAGGCGAAACCACAAGCCCCCAAGGCGAAACCAACAGTGCCCGAGGCGAAACCAAAACATGTCATTCATCGTTTCCGAACCAAACGTTGAGCCCGATCGAGCGAGAGCGTCGGCTTTGGAACCGTGTTCAATGGAATTGCATTCGCGCCAGCCGCGATTTTCCGATGGGCTGCTGGGCGCGCCTGTGCCCCGCTACCAGACAATCAGTGATGTTCAGACTTGGGGTTGTGCTTGCATCAGGGTGCGCCGTTGGGGGTGCCCGCGCGCCCAGCTAACAGGGTCGGGTTGCATAAAAAAACGCACGCGTTTAACATATCCCCCCTTTTCCTCCACGAGTAAACCGCCCTCCTCCCCGCGCTCGTGGAACAGGATGTGATTGTACTTGTAGGCCTCCGCGAGCCGCGGAGGGAAGCGTTCTGGTCATGATCGCGCACTGCGGGTGCAGTCTGCGCCGCGGCAGGCGCCATCTTGGGTCGACTCCAAACATTGGAATCGATCGCGCTACGTGGTGCAATCCACGCGGTGCAATCTACGCGGCACTACCACCGTCATGGTACAATCTAGGTGGCACAGTCTTCGCGGTGCAATCTATGCGATGCATTCGATGTTGCGCAATCAGCGTTGTGCCAGCTATGCGGTGCAACCTACGTGGTGCGGCCCACTCTGTTGAACTTGAAGTCGTCATCTCCACCGCTCGCGCAAACATCCCACCCACCCACCCGCAACTTGGTTTGCAAAACCTCTCAAGACCGACTACGACGACACCGACAACGACGACGACGACGACGACGACACCGACGACGTCTCCGACGACTTCGACGACGACACCGACTCCGACGACGACGACGAAGACGACGACGACGACGCCAACGAAGACGACGACGAGGCAGGAGGAAGGACGACGACGGCGACAACGACGACGACGACAACGACGACAACGACGAGGGAAGAGGGAGGACGGCGACGACGCGAACGACGAAGAAGGAGGAAGGACGGCGACGCCGACGACGACAACGACGAGGGAGGAGGGAAAACGACGACGACAACGATGACGACGAGGACGGCGACGAAATAGGAGGGACGACGACGAGACGCCGACGACGGACGACGACGACGACGAGGGAGGAGGAGGAAGGACGACGACGGCGACAACGACGCGGAAACGACCACGACGCCAAAGAGGACGACGACGACGAACACGAGGAATGACAGAGGACGACGTAGGCGACGCGACGACGACGACGACGCGGGAGGAGGAATGACGGCGACGACGACGACGACGCAAGAGCGCGCGCGCACGCTGTTGTTGAATACGCGTGTTGCAAAACCTTGGGTTTTTTTTTGTAGGTTTTTTTGACACGATTTTGACATCCTTCCGAAACCGATGGGTTTTGAAGGTTTTCGGAATACGCGCGCGACGACGCGCGCGTCTGCACTTCGTCCCATTTTTGGCAGAGGGTTCTCGCGACGGCACACGCGCAAGGGCGTTCGGCAGATTTCGACATGCGCGCGCAAAGCCCGTTCAATAGCATTTTGTGAAAATCTTGAAAAACCGATGGTTTTCTTAAGATTTCGCAAGAGCTCGCGCGGAAGCCTTTTCAGCAAGTCAGTGTTGCGAAAACCTGTGTTGTTGTATGTTTTGTTTGGGAACTCGATTGCGAAATCTTTCCGGCACCGAAGGTTTTTGAAGGGTTCCGGCATGCACGCGCGACGACGCACGCGTGTGCATTTCGTCCCGTTTTTTTTTCAAAGGGATTTGCGAACAAGTGTTATGTTAGAACAAATTATCCCGGCAAAACAACCGAACAGCGATGTGAAAGAGCATATCTGGAAGCATTCAACTGAAGATTCATGTAGGATTCCGGTTGTATAACGAACGAGACACTGTTATGAATGGATCTAGGTTCGAACGACTCACTGCTTTCGATAACTGTATCTCCAAACCAGACACTGCTATCAATGGATTTACGTGCAGACGAGACACTGCCATCCATGGATTCAGCCCCGAACGATACACTGCTATCAATGGATTTAGCCCCAAATGAGACACTGCGATCACTGGATTCATCTCTGAACGAGACACTGCTATCAATGGATTTAGTTTCGAACGACTCACTGCTTTCGAGAGCTGTATCTCCAAACGAGACACTGCTATCAATGGATTGAGTTCCAAACGAGACACTGCCATCAATGGGTTTAGCCCCAAAGGAGACACTGCTACTAATGGATTGAGCCCCAAATGAGACACTGCGATCACTGGATTTATCTCCGAACGAGACACTGCTATCCATGGATTTAGTTTCGAACGACTCATTGCTTTCGAGAGCTGTATCTCCAAACGAGACACTGCTATCAATGAGACACATGCGCACAATGACCTGCAGGAGCATTCTTTCTACATCGCAGGACTACAGTCCACAGCATGTTGATGAGCACCGTTCACAGCATGCTGAGCAGCAGCGCTGTCACAGTGACGAAACAGTAAAGATTGCAGGTGACTGACAAGCACCGCCGTGCTCACTGCCAAGATGCAGCCACATCTCCCTGCCCTGCAACTCGAAGAGGGAACGCCTGTGCACTGCATGAACGTGCAAATTGCTGCACTAAGGCACCTCAGCATGCTGAGGAGCAACGCTGGTACGGAGGTCCCTCACACGGCGTCTCGCCCACACACTGCACATTCACAAAGGATCTCCCTCGATAACTGAATGGGCCGGACATCCAAGTATTTCAGCGGAGCGGTGATTTGCGCCAAAGCGCTGACACCAGAAGTGGTGATCTTCGCGCATTCCCGCAATTTCGAGATCGATAAATTAGAGCTGTGATGCACAAGGGATTGTGCCGCTGCATCAGTCAGCTGACAGCACAAGCTTGCATCTAGCTTTTTCAGC